TATAAGTGATGAATTACCTGATATCACTAACCAGCTGCAGGTACCTCAAGAAATCTTGGGACGTCGTCTTCACCAGCATAACGACACCATGATTCCTCAAGTCCTGGTGCGTTGGTCCTATCTCCCCGAAGCTCTGTCGACATGGGAGGATGAAGAACCTCTACGCCAACAGTTTCCACGAGCACCAGCTTGGGGGCAAGCTTGTTCTCAAGGAGGGAGGGATGTCACCAATGGTGCCTCTATTTCCACTGTCAGGGATGAAGGCTGGACATCAGAGAAGAGCGACAAGGAGCCAAGGAAACTGATGGGAGAGGCAAGCAGGCCGAATCGACTGAAGAAGCCCAGTCACAAGACATTCGGCCCAGAATGGATCAACTAGGGACCCTGCGTGGCCCATGAGCGAGGGCAAGCCCAACTTGGCTCCCCTTTGTAATCGAGACACAGAGAGACGTGGAGGATTCGAACTCAGACTTGTATCAGACCGTGCCTGAGGGCGACGGCGGCGGCGGCGCACGGCGATCTCGTTGATCGGCCGTCGTTCGACCGAGTTTCCACCCAAATACTACCTAATTATCGTTCGTCTATATCGTTCCGGTTACAGCTGGCTGGGTCAAATTGGCCCGGATCAGCAACACATCAACACGAACACAAAGCCGACGATATGAACAAACCAAGCAGCATGATTCCATGATGTAGTTGCAATTTCTGACGAATACATTTACAGACAAATCGTGCTATGTGCCACAGCCTGCGGTCATTTCTAACTATCACTCTCAGCAAGGAAATACTAGAAACAACAGAGTTCTTCACTCTACAGCAGCGGTGCCGGAGATCCTCACTGGAGTTTCTCCATCCCGTAGGTATCTTCAGCTCCACTGGCTACCTTTCTTCTTCTCTCTGCTATCATCTCGGTGTATGCCTGAGAGAAGCCACCACAGGGTCAGTTCTATTCTATCATTCTTGAACTACTACATAACACAACAGTAAAGTAGCAATGTTTAGAACAGGGTTAGGCCAAAGGTATTTGACACAGAAGAAATGCTTAATTGACTGATATGCTGCAGCTAGAGATTGGAACTGGTAGGACAGACAATGCTCCTGACTCCAGTGACTCCTGACTAATAGCCATACCAATATATGGAACTAGAAGTAGTTTTGGAGCCAGTAAGCAACCCAGCATTCTGAGCTTTGGCATGGATAATGAGTAGCTGCTACCCTATCAAGGTAAATTTGCAGTTTGAAAGCACCATATGCTAAAGACGATACAAAACTATGTCAAAGCACATTTCTTCCTTGATAAACACTCCGAAAAAAATCATGAGTATTGAAAGAACTAAACTGAAGCCTGGATCACACATTACAAGAACAACTTCTAATCAATCATCTAAGAAAACGAAATCGTAAAACATAAAATTTAAATTGTTAGAAAAAATGATGTGCAAACCTTAGGGTAGGAGTAGAGAAATATGTACCACCATGCACATATTACAAAAGAAACTCCAGCAGTAATTACAGCAGATTGGATAAGCACCCAACTACAGGCGACCGCAACAGTTCCCGTAAGCAATATTGTCCAAGGCTGACACCTGAAAGGGGGGAAATATAAGCTTGAGCATAGAAGCTAAGCTTATAGAAGAAAAGTTATCTTCACATAAGGTAAACTCATGATGTTTGATAGAAAACGGCAACATCAGAAGAGGTGTGGAAAAATCTAATAACTACTTTCTAGACTATAGATATGGCGCTATTCGCATAGCTCCACTACCTCATGATGAATTTTGGAAGGTGAATGTTGTTATTGTGTACTGTACAAGAACGACAGGCAATAAAAAAATGTCATCAATTACATCATGGCTTGTTTACACTTTACAGCAAACAATGAAAAAAAAATGAAAGGGCTAAGCAGGGAGCAGTCTCCTGCAACAGAATTTGATGAGCTATTCATTCAAAAAACTGGAAGTTCATGTCTATTGTATTTAGTACACACGCCATTCAAAATTTGTCGTCAGGGCCAATGTTGACAAAATATTTATGTAATTTTGATTTTTCTTTTAAAAAACAAACAAGCAGGAGAAATAATTTAGAATCTAGCTACATCTGACAATAAACAAAGCCACGATAACAAATTTGGGGCATCTCTACGATGTGTTGGCAAATAAACCATCCTTAAATGTCTACACCATCATAATCTTCGCCAATTTTCGCCAATTTTGATGAATGCAATGTCCAGCAAGAAACAACTACGGAGGAGCAAAGGAACGGACCAGGCAGGCTTGGTGTCCCAGACAGAGTCGTACTCCAGGGACAGGTAGTTGAGGTACCCATCCATGTCGTCCACCACCCCATCCTCATCAAAGAACGCCGCCGCGCCGCTCTTGCCACCCTCCCCCTTGCCCCCGCCGCCGCCACCTACCCGCGCCACTCCAGCGCGCCTCTGGCTCCTGCCGCAGAGCTGCAGCCTTGTGGCGGCAGCGGTGGCAGCACAGGAGAAGAAAGGGGAAGGCGCGGCCGCGGCCGCGGCCGCGGTCGCGCGGGCGCCGCATGGGCAGGGCGGCGGCGTGGATGGGTAGAGCAGGCAGAGCGCGCCCATTTCTTGGCCTGTGCTCGCAGTACGGCGTCGGCCTCTTCTCTGCTTCCGTCCGGCGGCTGCCGATGCTGCGGTTATGGCCAGTGTTTGCTTTGATTTCCTGGCAATTTTTTGTGCCGTATATCATCTTTGCAATTAAAAGATTTTGGCAATTCTCAGAAGTTCTGGCCCAATAGAAAGTAAAGCCTTGATATTGGAGATGGCCTGTTCTTGCAGCCCAGATCCTCGTGACGGTGTGAGCACTATCGCGGTTTGTAACAAGTCTTTTTATCTATTTTTCTCTAATCAAATCAATTTTTAGAATCTTCTTAAATAGAACTTTTATTAGTTTGATCAGATTTATAGAAAATACTATCAATATTAATATAGCACAAAAGTATTATTATTAGATACACACCATGAAATATGTTTCATAGTCTACTTATTTGGCGTCATACTCAGAATTCTTAGAGATATCTTTTGTCGTTTAAAAATATTATCATGTCAAAAGCCGAACTACCTTGAAAATCATTTCTAATCCTGCCTAAGAGGTAATTTAAATTATTTTAAGAGTTGAGTGTTAAAATTGTCTTTTTCATTTTAGAGTTCGACGAGGAAAATCGAATCCTAGCTGTTTTGTCGTATGAAAGCTCAAGACTCAAGTCAAGGAGATAAAAAAAGCTCATGACTCAAGAGCGAGCAAAGCAAGATCGCGACTGCCCATCGAGCTGGAAACTTTTTATCAGGAACTCTTTTTTATGGCAAGTTAGAATGAGACATGTTCGTGTTTACATCAATAAAGAAAAAAAAAATGCTACAGTCACAAGACATAAAAATGGAAAGATGAAGCACGAAATAGAAGACTTTGGCCAGAGTTCAAACCCTGTTGGGGCGGATTTATTAGTCCGAGGAGGCGTAGTTTATCTGTGCTATAAAATAAATCCCTTCGTTTGCCCCACGCCAGAGTATAGGTTTAAGGCCAGCTCAGTCTCACGGGAGCTACGGTGCCGCTGTGTATGGATGGGGCAGAGGTTCGAGATGTTTTTCTCGACCTGCGTGAGAAGGTCTTCTTCTTAAGCGGGGGCTGTCGGGTCGAGTTTTTTTTTTTAAGCTAGGCCAAAGTAGTTAGTGCCCTAAGACCGTCCTTCTAGTAACAAGCACGTTACACACCGTTGAAAAAAAATAATTGGTCAAAAATAAGAGCACGCACCTGTACCACCATCTCAAGAAACCGTTCATATTAAACCAAGAAATTAACTGTCTAAAGTAAAAACGAACTGAATTCTGCACCCAGCTCACCTGGCAATCCCTATCGACTTTATCCTCGCACGCGTGGCATTCTTGTGTCGAAAAGGACCGTCGCAGCATGGCAGACACATTCTGGACCTGGAATGCTCACATGCATGTGCCCAATGTGCCCACCAAACTGCAAACCGTCTTCAGAACGCACACTACAGTGCTACACTCCACTGGTAGCCAGACTGATTGTACTGGTACACGGCAGAGGCTCCGAGCAGAACGCTATCCGGATGCGCGCAATCGGGTGGACAAGAACCGTGACTCACATCCCCACTACCCGCTGCTTTCTCCGGCTAGGCACGCTATCAGACTCGATAAGGCCAGCTCGTCGTATCCCTTGTCTGAGCCGGACGATGATGAGCTTGCGCCCTCGCCGTTGTCCCCAACGATGACTTGGTGGCGACGGCGACGTGATCGATCGGCAAGCCGAGCGAGGAGAGGAAGATGAGACCGACCGTGTGGATAGCGACGACAGCGCGACGTGACGAGGACCGGCGATCGATCGGTGATCGCCGATGACGCGGCGTGCGGCCACGGAGAATAAACTAACATGCCGATCGATGCCAGCCAGGAGATCGTGTAGTTTCTAGAACGCACGCAACGTACTACTACGTCCCATGATGATGATTCCATCTCCATCCGTCCGCGTCATGGCCCAACGCCCGCGCGTGTCGTCACGCTCCACTGACCATGCCACCGTCCAATTGAGTCGCCAACAACACCCAACAGCGACGACGATCCATAAGCTAAGCACGCACTGATCGTGTTTCACACGGAATCAGTGATGATTGATTGTTAAACACGGAATCACGATTTGTTATTCTTATCATAATACTTAAGATACATCACATGACTCGTCATGCACTTGGAATTGCTGCTTTACATGCACTGACGACAAACCGGTGCTGATCAGAAATGTGTACGTACATGCCTGTCAGCTAGGTACAGATAGACAGATATTCACACACGCACGCACGCACATCAGGAATCAGAATAATGTACATGATGATCGATTAGATGGTGAGTGAGAGAGACGGAGCTTTAATTTATTAGTGGCCTCCCCTGATTCTGACTGATGACACTGATTGATTATTAACCAAGATGGGTGCAGTGCAGGATGGTGGGGATGATGAGGTTAGGCCTGGATGGACGTGGGCTGGATGATGGAGTCCAGGTCAGACCTCATCGGCATCTTGTCGATGCTGTGGTCCGAGCGTTCAGTCTCGCCGCCGGCGACGACGCCCCAGATCTCCGGGATGGCCCGCCGGAGCGTGCCGATGTTGTCCAGGGCGTAGTCTGCTTCCTTGCTCCTCACCCTCTTGCCAACCTGGGGAAAAAAAATTAACGAAAGGATTAATGTTGGTTTTCAGAGAGGCATCGAATCAATGGATAAGACTGCAGAATGCTGGTGTTCAGAGAAGAAACTTGTTAGGCGGAAGAGTCAGAACTTGTTTAAATTTAGAGCCTAAAGTTTTGGGGTGGCACATCGGTTATTATATGAGGGTGTTGTATGGGATGTTCGGATACTAATAAAAAAACAAATTACAGAATCCGTCAGTAATCTACGAGACGAATTTATTAAACCTAATTAATATGTCATTAGTATACGTGTTACTGTATCACCGCATTGTTAAATCCTGAACTAATTAGGCTTAAAAGATTCATCTCGTAAATTAGTCGTAAACTATGTAATTTATTTTTTTTTATTTAATACTCCATATATGTGTTAAACTTTTGATAGTATAGAGAGTAAACTTGAGGAAGGCCTTAATTGTGTGATGCTGTATGGATGCATCGACATGCATGATCGCCCCGAGAGGCAGACAGGCAATGTGCGTGCTGACGTGACGGCGCAACCACGCACTATCGATATGTTGCCAGGACTACGAAGACAAATGAAAACGTATGCGTCAGCTAGCAGTGCTCGTTTTTGTTTCCTTGTCCCGTTCCTAAAACGCCAAAACCAACGAAGATATTTTTTTCTCCTTGCTCTCCCCGGATTTGTGGCGAAGAGTGAGAGACCCTTGAATCGACAGGCACGTGAATTGGACCGTCCAATTTCAAAAAAAAATTACCGATAATATTCAACATAGACAAATAACATGAGGAGAGGAAAGCGAACTTTTCTTTCGTTTTCGCCCGCTCAAGAGAAGAAAAACAATAAGAAGATAGGGTATGTTTGTCTGCGTTGGATGCATGATCTTATATATCAGAGACAGAGGCATCACCTTGCACTTGCACCTACCTACTCGTTGTCAATTGCCACGCCAGCCAGAGACACTAGAGGCTACAGCGCCAATCATCTTGACTGATGGCCACTAATAAGCGCGCATGAGCAAAAGCAATCCTGATTTATCGATGGCAGGGCGAGCAAGCCAAAGCCAATGGCGAAGGGCAGCCCCGGTCGCGCCAAGCAGATCTCCGCGGCATCGGTATCGATGGCTCGGCGCCGAGCGGGTGAATATGCTTCGCCACGACACCGACAAGGCGCCGGGCACCGGCGCCATCGCCATCGCCATCGCCATCGCCGTCACCGTCACCATCGGGTGGTGGTGGTGGGTAGCAACTGGTACTCGCTCGGTACTGCCCGTAACTAACACACGCTGCGACTGTGAGCGCATCGGCCACCTGATCGACCAACTACTTGCGTATGTACCCTTGAGCCTGCGCACCCATCTGATCTGACTGACCTGGTGCCCCGGAAGGCAATCCATCAGCGAAAAATATTATTCGTTAGTTGATAAACCAAATACGACCCAGCCAACAAACTGCAGGCGCAGGATGCGTCACGGCAGTGTAGTGAGCACAATCGTACGTGTTTATTTGGACCGAGGTGGAAGAAGTTGTGGCGAGGTTGGTTACGTACCAGGGCGGTGCGGAGGCCGAGCGCTTTCCCCGCGGCGATGTTCCTCTCGCTGTCGTCCAGGAAGAGCTGTCACAGCAACCACCAAATTTTAGTGGTCGTTATTAGTAATAAATAATGGTATATACGACGGATATAATAATATAAGCTTAATTTGCTTTCATCCAAAGCAAGTGCTGATAAGTGATAAGGCCCTGATTAGTTCTGCTACTTTGTTAAGTCGTCGGGGTTCACATTGTACTACCACCATCTAAATCTCACTTTTCAATGTGCTTGATAAGTGATTCCCCCTAGATTATCAGTACTTTGTTAAGTCGTCGGGGTTCACATTGTACTACCACCATCTAAATCTCACTTTTCAATACGCAATATAGTATGCGCTTAGTTCGATTCCCTTGTAGCGTATCAGTAACTTTTTAACATTAGACACGGTGCCATCGGTGAGCGACCTAGTTTGCTACGGCAGTATTGAAACGAACGTTCTAGATTATCATAGCGTACATGACAGTGGGTCCCTTATATTTGTTTCATTCGTAGTAGTATTATTATCCAGTGCTCTACGGCTCCAGCAAACATAAAAAAAATTTAACATGTGGATTAATTTAACCCCGTCTAGAAACTGAACAAAACTACCAAGTGAGCAAGCAGTCACTGGCTATTACGTACCGTCCGCCGTGGGTTGGAGCCGGCGGCGCGCAGCCCAGCCACGATGGCGTCCACCGCCGGTTTGAGGACCACGACCGGGTGGTCGCCGCGCTCCTCCCTGGCGCCGCCGAAGAGGTGCGGGTTCATGGTCTCGAAGCACACGACGGCGTCGAAGATGGCCTCGTCCACGCCCAGCCGCTCCAGCGCCCGTCTCATGTGCGCGCGGTCCGAGTTGGTGAAGAGCTGCGCGCGCGAAACGCACATGGTTAGCCGATCGATCGGTCGTGTAATGTGATGCCAAGTGTCTTGTTTCTGGATGAAAACGGAGGAGGGGTTTCGTGCAGCGTACCACTTTGCGCTGCGGGATGCTCTGCAGCAGGCGCGCCAGCTGCGGGTCGGCGGGGATCCTGTCGTACGGTAGCCTGCCGTGCACGTAGCTGCAGGTGGAAGTGGAATCCGGTCAGTTTTGGACGAATGCATCCAACTGTAATACGCACCAAGTGGCGGCAGGTTTAGATGAGGAACTAAATTTGGGTTCCGTGTTTGCGTGCTGACCTGTGGTACTCGTCCGGGTGCACGTCATAGCCGAGCGCCTGCAGAAATCGAAACCAGACACGCAGTCAGAACCAGAAAGACGACCGAGAAGCGACAAGATGAGCAGATCAGACCAGACGAGGAAAGAGAATTCCTAAGCCGGGTAAAGGAACGTCACGTACGATGAGTCCGGCGAGGGAGCTGCCGTGCGTGCGGAAGAGCTCGACGCGCATGGCGGCGGCCTTGTCGGCGGAGACGCCGAGCTTGGCCTGGAGGAACTCGTCGATGTTGCGCTTCAGGGCCGGCCCGATGCCGGTGTTGCCCGGGTACAGGGTGTCGTCCAGGTCTGCACGGAGCGCGCGGCGCGGGCCACAAAAAACCGTATCAGTTACATATATATAGTCATCGACAGCAGCAATCGCCCTGGACTGCGAGCTAGCTAGCGATCGACGCTCTGCTCACCTAGGAGGATGCAGTCGAAGGGGGAGTTCGCGGCCATGGCAGGCGGGCGGGAGAGCTGGAGAAGGCGAGGAAGCTAGGAACGGGGAGATTGCCGAGACGGCGGTGGAACCGAACCGGGGCGAGCTGCGCGGTGATGTCTGGAGCTGTGGAGAGAGCCGGGGCGAAGAGCAGAGCGAGAGAGCTGGGGGAGCGAGGCGTGGCGTTTAAATAGAGTTTCGGGCGAGGCGGGGGGCCGGCCGCGTGGACCACGGGGAAGTGGCGCGGTAATCCTGTCCGCCAACGTGCGTCAAACACGCTACAACTCGGTTTCGTGGGGCAGGGCTCCCGGAGCCGGAGTAGGAGTAGTTTTTAGCGCGGCGAGCTCATATGCTCAACGTACGCGTCCCCGCTTGGGCCGAGGCCGCCTTTTCGGCCTTGCGGACGCGGTCGGCTTCGCTGGAGCGGCCTGCCACGATGCTGCCGGTCGGTGATCGCTGATCGCTGATTGCTGATTGGTGGTTAGGCTTATATTCCTTGCCAGCAAAACGGCTTTGTGGCTTTGTACGCAGTCAGGCGGGCTGTCAGTGTCGGCCCAACCACAACGCAAGTTTACGGCGATACCACAGCCCACAACCTTACGCTGGGCCTAATTCTGCCAGCCCAATTAGCCACTCATCAGCCCAAAACAACCTTCTGCTCCGCTCGCATCCCGGGAATCCAGAAGGTTCCCGCGGGAGCTCGAGCTCCCCGCGTCCCGGCACCAAATCCAACCCGAACCTTCCAGACCCCGCGCCTCCCTCGCCCTCCGATCCAGCGCCATTTTCACGACCCGAAGGTTCCTTGCCCGAGCAAACGACCCGACGCGCGGCGCGATCGCGACCTCCGCCACAGCTGCAGCGAGAGCTAGCCAATGGACGTGCTCAAACGCGAGCTGCAGCGCAAGCGCCAGCTCCTCAACGCCGATTTCGGCGGCCGGAAGATCCTCCGCCGCGCCGAGATCGAGGCCCGCGAGCTGCAGCGCATCCGCGAGACCGAGCGCCAGCTCCTACTCCAAAAGCAGCTCAGGCATTCCCACCCGGCGTCCTCCCCCTCCGGTTCCTCCTCGAGCTCCTGCTCGCCCACCTCCGCAGCCGCCGAGGCGTCGCGGGCAGAGAGCGGCTCCGAGGAGTCGCTCCCGAGGGAGGAGGTCATCCGGCGCCTGCGCGTGCTGCGGCAGCCGGCCACGCTCTTCGGCGAGGACGACGTCGCGCGCCTCCGCCGCCTCCGGGACCTGATCGAGGACCCCGCCGCGCTCGCCGACGTCGACGCGGCGGAGATCGGGGAGGGGCAGACCAACGACTTCCTCCGCGACATCCAGGCGCTGCGCGCCAAGGCTGCGGCCGCGACGAAGCCCAAGGCCGCCGGCGCGGAGGCCCAGCGTGGGGAGGGCGACGACGGCGTACCGAGAGATGTGCCGTTCGAGGAGCTCTGCGACGAGGATAAGATCACCGCGTTCTTCAGTAGGCTGATGGGCGAGTGGACTCAAGAGGTGGACGGTATGCCTGAGGCGGAACGGCGGACGGCAAAAGGGAAGGCCGCGGTAGCCACCTGCAAGCAGTGCGCGCGATACCTCGACCCGCTCTTCAAGCAGTGCAAGAAAAAGGTATGGATCATCGAAGTGTCCCGTAGTAGTAACAGTTTGAATGACCTAATGCTTATTGCGAACGTTTGGCTGGATGAATTCATAGGTTTGTTAACCCATCTGATATCATGCTTTAATTTGAACTGTTAGTACGATTTTGTTTGACTTTGTTTACAACATTTGATATTATCGGGTGCATAGTGATAAAGGAAGTGTAGGAAGCGTGAATATTATCCTGGTGATTAGCGGATTGTGTATGATATAGTGAACGAACGATGCTTCATGCTGTTGTTAGTACTCCCATGTTCATTTCACATTTTTAAGATGATCTTATTTTTGTAAAATGAAATATGTTGTCTATACTATATCTGTGCCTTACTCAATGATCTAGTGATGCAGTTTCTGATAAATATTTGTTTAAATCTGTATCTCAACTATTTCTTCTATTGATTGAAGATTCTCACAGCAACGAGCAATCCATTTAAGGAATACAACCATACAACAAAGACAACAGAGATATGATGTATGCTGTTTTTTAACTGTATGGTTTCTGAGATTATTGATTTGCCTTCTGAGATGTTCAGAGAGGAAATCTCTGTAACATAGGAAGGGATTTGTCTTAACAATTCACTTTTGCCCTTGAATAGGAGGGCATCATCCTGAATGCACAAACACAACCATCGACGATCCGGTTGCGCCTTGTGCTTTAAGTAAGCCTGCTGATTTGTTTATGATCGCCCCTACCTGCCAGTATTGGCGACTATTTTCTCTCAAGATCACTGTGCAATCAAACTTTCCCTGTGATTATTTTAGTTATTTCTGAATGTCTGTAACTTTTGTAGTCATTATCACAGCCACTTTGCATCACTGTATGATTAGAATATCGATGTTTTATCTATTATAAGAAAAAAGACACTTGTTTGTTAACGCATAGTATGAATGTTTAGAGATTGATCATGAAGTTGTACCTTGTTGAGTCATTGCATATATAAGAACAGGGGCGAATTTAGGCCCATTTATCAGGGTCCGCTGACTTGATAAAATCTACAAATCATTTAGTAAAACACCCTTAGGACTTAAGAAAATCCATGTCATGTAAAGAAGTTGACCCCGATCACCCGGGTGATGCTAGATTCGCTTGGCTAAGGAGGCATGGAATAATTTTTGCTTCCTATTAAAATTTTAAATTAGCCAGATAGGGTGACTAGGTTCAGCGGCGGATCCAGGAAAAATTTTAGGGGGGCTGAACAAAAGTGCGACAGCAACATACCTCCGACTGCTGCTCAATCTTAAGTCTCAGCCCCACTTACACGATACAACTTTGCCTAAAAATTCATGGGGGCTCCAGGGGCACTCCAGGGCTCCGGTATCGGTAGGGGGCTCGAACCCCCCCGCCCCACCGTTGAATCCGCCACTGACTATGTTAAACATTGAAGCTATTCTAACTACAGCACTGTTTTTGCTTCTTATTTTGTAAGCAATTTTCCTTGTGTCCTCCGTAAGAAGTAGATTATGGTAAATGCGTATTCTTAGCGACTCTAGTAGATCTTATGTTCATATGTGCAGACAATCTTGTATCACAGGACTCAGTTCATTATTTTGCATCAAATTGCAGGTTCTCCCTCCTGATGTCCGACAAGCATTGCTGGAGGTGGTCAGGTGCTGCATGAGACGAGACTACCTGGCTGCAGTGGACAATTATATCAAGCTAGCAATAGGCAACTCGCCATGGCCAATTGGTGTGACTATGGTTGGTATTCATGAGCGATCGGCTCGCGAAAAGATCTACACGAACAGCGTGGCTCACATCATGAATGATGAGACGACCAGAAAGTACCTGCAGTCTGTGAAGAGGCTCATTACATTCTGCCAGAGGAAGTACCCCACTGATCCATCAAGGTCGGTAGAGTTCAACAGCCTGGCAAATGGCAGTGATCTGCAGTCTCTCCTGGCGCAGCAAAACGCGAAGAATTCAGAAGAAACGCTTCGGTTAGTGGCTGCGTCATGACAAGGTTGGATTAGATTGGTGCTCGGAATTCTGGGCAAGTTCGATTCTTGTGGGATTTGTGATTTGAATTTGTACTTATTTGTAAGAACCTGAATTGCATGTCCGGTCGTTCTGCCTTACTGGACTGTGGAACCTAATCAAACTGGAGCCTACTGATACTGTTGTTGGACATTGCTAGACTTTGACCATACATCAAATTCTCTCTTAATTTTCTCGTCTTCAGTACACGCTTGCTAGTTCGAACGTTTGCATCAACCCTTCCAGGAATAGGCAAAGTTCTAATTTTGGCCGTGTTGAGATGCTCTCAAATCCATTCCATATTACGAAAACATTGCTCCAATGAGAATTTTTTTTTTCAAAAAGGTAATATTCACGTTCTAGCAATACCATATTTGGAAACTAGATTTTTGTAATTTTTGACAGAAGGCTTGTTTAGTAAGCAATAGAATTATATTGGATCCATTTTTTTATGTATTTTTCATAATATTTACTTACGAAACAATTGATAATATGTTAGAACAAATAAAGGCCAAAATATACTTCAAAAGACTTTGTAATCGCAGTTCACTTTCATAATTTTTTTCAACTTTTTACAAGTTAAGATAAATGCCCCATCAAAACATATTACATGAAGAATCTAATAAAACTAATCTGATCTTATAGATATTGGTGCATTTCCTATAAACTTTGATTTGAAATGGACCATAATTTAGAACAAAGGGAATACATCTACTCTTACATCCACTTGAAAGGCTGACTAGCAAATTGTCTGAAACCTGCCGTTTTACACTTGCACACTTTCCTTCCTCTTCTTCAGACTAAGTCAAATCTATAAGACAAAAATCACTAGGCAAATGTGACACTCTATCCCCACATACAACGAGAAAGTATATCGAGAAAAGGCATACTACACCAGAAGCATAAGGTGCCCAAGCTGTTTTTTTAGCGCAAAGTGCCCAAGCTGATGGGTAAAGAAACATGACATTAAATCATCTATCAAAATTGTTTTAATTTACAATTCTTTCAACCCAACTAAAACTACTAAGTGAACAAGGTATATAGCTTTACAACTTCATCGACGATGTGGAGAGAGCCCAGTCTCGTTCGCATCCGTGCAGTTCTGCAACTGCAGCCGATATACACACCGGATGCAAGCAGTGCCCCTTGTGCAAAACCTAAGGGCACATGAATGCCAAGCAAACCCCAGGAACCCTGGCTCGGAAGTACAAAATAGAACACAAAAGGTCAAGCTGTGAAGACTATCATATGCTTTACACCGTTGGGGTTATTTGGTTAGCTATGACGACAGCACGGACTGTAGAGCAAGCTGTTGCTGTGGTTGCAAAGAAGACCATGTCGAGGCTAATACTGAAGGAGGCAATGTTGCCTGAAGTTGCCTTAGTAGATTAATCATCCTGCTGGCAGTCTGCTCTGTTGCTAGATCTTTGCCCGCACATAATATCTGCATTCCATACAAAAGGCAGACTACGTCAAGTAAATAATGCTCTAAGGCCATTGAGAAGTCACTTGGATAGCTCAGTTTCCTCCGAGTGCTGGTCTTTTAAACAAGTTAACCAGTGGGAGTGGCTTCAGCTTCTCTACAAAGCCAATAAGCTACAGTTATCTGAACTGGTGTGGAGTTATCATGCTAGGATGGCAGAATCCACTAGATCTGTAAATCCTTAGTTCTTTTTCCAGTGTTTTTCTTAAGATCATTGCATTATCATGCCAACAGTAGAGTTGGAATAGACTTTGGGAGACAAAAGGGGGATAATATAAAGAAAACAAGATTCAGGAAAATAAGAAAAGGTAAAAGGTACCTCTGCAAAAACAGACACAATCTTTGGAAGATACTGATTATTATGATCCAAAAGCTCCCTCTCAGACCTGTTGAATGTTGATTACACAAAAAAAAAATAGCTGTTAAAGAAACACGAAATAAAACAAAAGTCTAGACAATAGGGAATATTGGTTAATCTCAGGAAAAGCAACTCTGCAGAAATAAATTGTGGGAATCACTTACTTCTCAAGCATCGCACACAGCTGTTCATGGACAAGCTTGGCCTCAATTAAGTCATTTTTTATCGGAAGGCAACTTAACCAGGCAGGAATTACCTGTTCAATGAACCAAGTGATGTATGGTCACAAAACTTTGTACAGTTCATAAATTAATGATGTAGCAACAAGACTGTTAGCAGTTAATATGAATTGCCCATCACTTCAACTGTTGCATTAAGAAATGGAATGATATACTACAATAAGGCTCAATGGAGCAGGCTAGATACCAAGACAAATGCTAGAAGAACCATATGCCTAAGTATTGTTGAGTACGGATATCTTGAAAGCATTAGATACCTGAGATACATCGATGCTATCACGATGAAATTGACATATTTTTCCAAGAGCGGAAACAGCATTGTCATAGGCCATCGCATTATCCAAATCTAGGGCATTAGGATGTTTGATTACATTGTATAATCTGGATAGGGCCTCTGTAGAAATAAACAAGATTGTTAACAACATCGAATGACAAATGCAACTATACACAAATCTAATACAACATAAATACAAAACATACCCCCAGTGTGAGGCCTAAATGCAGAACCACCACATTCGGCACAAATGCCAATTCCATACACTGCGGCCTGAAAACAGCAAGTTGGAAATGAAATCGCACACTCTTAACAGATAAAGGGTTGCTGTTGGCCTGTTGCACATAATTCTGCTGCACTGGGATGTAGAACAAATAAGAAATACAAACCTGCCTGACATCTGGATTTTCACTCATGCAGGCTTCTAATAGAGAAGGAAGGTATGCATCATAATACCTGAGAATCAGATATCACAAAAAACATGTAAAATGATCAGAACTCACAACGATCTTTCGCCTTCACCAAACAAAGTGCTATGCATGGATCGTACAACTGTTACCTAACTGCTGCTTCACGGCAGTGCTCGGCGACATCATCAAAAATGCATATGGCAATCCTTCTTTCTTCTGATGTTTTATCCTTGCCCTAAATTGGTGGAATGTTAAAAATGTACATACAATGTTTTGTTTACCTATCATTCAACAGTGCATTTATGTTTCATGTGAATATGAGTTCCGAGGTAATAAATCTAGAGTAACATCAAATTGTGATGTAGTGTTCAGTGCTCACAACCCTAACAAGCAAAGCAAATGCACCAAATCCTCAATGGTTCATCATCTCACTTACCAACATAGGTGTCAAATACACAGAGAGTTCATCAAAGAACGGAAGAAAATAAGTCTTGAAGGTTTTAATGAGAGTGCCTAGACAATCACCAACCTGCAGTCACAGTACAGGTTTTCAAACCAATAAGGTTAAGTAATAAGCACTAACAATTGTTCCCTACACAAAAGGTAGGTTCAAAGCACAATATAATAATGCATCCACCTTTCCAGTAAATTTCTGAGGTAGCTAATTTCTATGTTAGCGCACAAGCATTTGTATCAATCAGAAGCATGAGTAGATCTGGTATGCCTTTAAGGAGAATTAGAAACTCCGAGATTTCAGTAGCTTACTTGGTCAAAGATTTCATCTTCCTGTTCGTTTTCTTCTCTGAGTAGCTCCTCTTCTTCAGAATCGAAGTCCTCAGCCCTTGCCCTTTCTGTTCGTTCTATCCTCCTGTTAGTGCTTGCAACTATTACTTCTTTGATTCCTTCCACTGCAGATCTTACTTGATTTTCCTCAAGAAGTGTTCCTGATAGCTGATCGAGAAAAATGGGTAAAAGATTATTCAAGTGACAGCACACAATACCAAATGTAGTACAAAGCTAAAAAGGAAAATGATGCCTACAAGTTGATTAAAAGCATTGACAATGTCTTCTGTTACAGATATAAAAACTACTAAGACTTTATTTCTGAAAAAGGTAACACAGCACATTAAAGGATAACTGGGTAAGGGTAGGACTTTTGCCAAAATAGCCAAGTAGCATGGTAGTAGCATGGTAGGACCATGTAAAAATGAGTTTTAGGACAAACCAAGCAAACTAATAACTGGACAAACTAAAAAAAAATCTGAAGACCCACTATAATTTAAACAACTCGTTTTTTTTAATAATCTCATTATCACACTGTTTAAACCACACCAATATGTCCAGGTCCGCATGGTATTGTGCATGTATTCGAAAGTAGACACAATCATAGTCTGGTAAAGGGAATGAGATTGTAAATAATAAAGCATGTAAATTTAACAGCCATGTGAACAAAAGAATGTGAAGACATGAAAACTGTACTTGAGATGAAGCAGAAGTTCTCATGAAAACAAGAGGTCTTTTCTTCAGTCAAATATCAAATATCATACAAGTACAGTATTACAAACCTGTATAGATTCATTCAATGATTCCAGTATGCTTGCACAAATTTGTGGCTCAGGTTCCTGCTTAGAATTCCAATTACATGCTTAAATCAAATCATGTTAACAAACATAACAAAAATTCAAGAAGTAATACGCTTTTATAAGCATAAAGCCCTTACTTTATGCATGGCCTCTACAAGGGCTGGAACTATGTAATCAGACAGTTGCTTAAGATAGGATTTATCACGACCTTGAGCTTGACCCTTTTCTATAGCCAATTTTGCTGAACGTAGAAGCTCAGGCATTGCTGCAAAGAGCATATAATGTATAGCACAAGACAACATGCTAAAAGAAGTAAAGACATCAAAATTTTCAGTCACATACCTGAAATAGCTGCCGTCCTAACTTCTTCATGAAAATAGAACTTAAGGAGAGGTACAAGCGTAGTCGTAACCTGTACAGATCCGGATATAGCTGTAGCTCTTTCATGAAACTAGAACCCGAGGAGAAAGAAGGGGTTGAATAGTGATATAACCTGATCAATCCATGGGAAAAATCCTTCCTTGAGCTCATCAGCATAGCAACACAGCATATTACATGCTGTAGCTTTCTCCTCCAGTAGACTAGTTCGGATGCCAATCCTCTTATCACCTAGTGTGATAGTCTCGACACTGCAG